ATGCCGGGCACTCCCAGGGCTTCCCCGGCCCCCCATCCCCAGGGTTGGGTTTCCCGTCCCAGCCCTGGCCGGGACCATCCTCCCAGGGGAGCCCATCAGCCACCAGCTCCAAAGGCCCTTGCCCGGCCCGGGGCTCAGGGGCTGGCCCTCCCTTTTAGCGCTGGGTGTCCCCACGCCGGGTCTTGGCTCTGCAGCACCCCGTCCCCCCGCGGGGTGCTCTCCGCCGGCTCCCTCCATCCCGCCCCCCGGGACCCTCTGCCAGAGAGAGGCGAAGGCAGCAGACATACAGCACGCTGCCTTTGGACCTGCAGGGAGACCCTCCCTTCCCCAGGAGCACCCAGCCCCACACGGGGACACCCCCCTTCCCCCAGCAGCCCTGCCCAGCCTGCCCGAGCCAGGCGTTCTCCCACCCCTGCGGACAAGCGCTGGAGGCACCGCGGGGAGACCCCGGGGCTGTCCTGAAAGAAGGGCGCTTTCTCCCTGTGTGGGAACCCGTACGCACAGGGCCGAGGTATTTCTTTTATTCAGTGTCTGCGCAGAGTGGGGTGCTAGGAGGTGAGTCTGAAATGAGGAGCTAGGAAATTAAAATAGGAGATAGAAATTAGGCACTCAAGAAATGAAGGTATAACTTAGTGTAGAGATAAAGATGGAAGACTTAGAGATCAGGCTAGGGACTAGAGGCCTATTAGATAACTAAGATTAATATAGGATAATAGATCATAGTTGATGGGCCAGAGAGCAGAACAATATGGAAACCTTGATCAATGGAAGCTGTGAGAGAATGTTTCCTGATGGAATAAGAAGACAGTCTTAAAAACTGGTCAAAACCAACCCTATGGTCCACCCTGAGTCCAGGAGGCTACAGAGACTGTGCAAGAAACCGAGGTAAAAAGTTCAACAGTGAGGAAGAGAAGCTACTTCATCTCTGCGACCCCAGCCTGCGACCACTGGGACACACTGCGCAGACGCGACTAGGAGGAGACTGGGGCGGAACATATGAGAAAGACTTTCAATCTCATTATAATACAAAGCGGGGATAGGTTATGCATATGTATAGGTGTATTTTGAATATGTAATGCTTTCTAGCATAAAGCCAAGACAAGGTGCCACAAGAGGCATGCACCTTTGTGGTGGAACGATCCCCCGTGTGCCTCAGTGCTGAATAAACATACCTACTTTATAACCTTAGCGGTTGTGGACTCATGATTCCTCAAGTCAAGTCCACAGAGCTGGCACACTGCGTAAAAGAACTTCAATGCATTTACACACTTCAAACTACAGGAATACACAGGAACTGTAATAACCATGGGTTACTTTCTTACCACTTTGTCCCTCAATGGTTATCAACATGCCTTGTCTTGATTTGAAGTTATGGTGTCTTTTCATTATTTGGCACAAACTCAAAGAGTGAGGGAGGGCAAGTCTTTTTGGTCTTAAATTGAGTCAGTGGTTGTGATCTCCCCCTGCCGCCTTTACCCTAGTGACTGCAGAAATTGCTGAGTTCGTGTCTTGAATCATTCTCTCATTTTGGTTATATTTCTTGTAACAAGATAGCAGTTCTTGAAGTTCCTTCTCTGAGAAACAGTGATAGCAAGGCATGCAAGGCTACAGTGGAGTTGTTAATCAGCAGTTGACATTTGCCTTTGGCTTATCACCAGGGAACGTGGAGGAACCATGACAGCAGTCCTTGAAACCAGTGAGCAGTGCGACAGCAAGAGAAGGTCCATGCAATTCCTTGCTCTTGGAGGCAAGACCAGCAGCATCAGGTCCCTAGTGTTTTGCACATGTCTCAGCAAGCTTCTTCAAGCATGGACAGATAGTGCATGCTTTCATAATATGTGATAGTTTAAACTTAAGCTTCTTGAACATGCCCAGCACGAGGTCTTCCAGTGCTTCCAAAAAGCTGTCCCAGGAATTCACCTCTCCTGCTGTCACATGGTTAAAAAAACTACCCTGGAAGAAGGCAAGACTTTAAAAATAAATTCTCTCCAAAGACCACAGTGCTTCTTTGAGCCTTTTCCTGCAGCTCCTGCCTCAGTCAAAGGACTGACATAGAGTCAGGCTGTGATAGAGCTGCAGCAGCACCCCCACATGTCATGCATGCAAACCAAAGAGAGGAGCCATGAGGCACCCAAGGAGCCTCTGGGCTGTCCTTCAGACAGTCACTGTGGCAGGGCTGGGGCCGTACAGTCCACATTTCCAGAGGCCGTGCTTAGCCCAGGAGTAGCAGTGAGTCTCTAGGACCCTTACATGCAGCATCTTTCCCAGCCTAGGGGCAGCAGCAGTGCTCAAGGAGCCTTGTACACAGCAGCATGCCAATCAACTGAGAAAGAGGTGGGGATCAGGGACATGTGTCCATAGCACCGTGCTTAGCAGTGGTGCTCCAGTCGAGCATCAGCATTCCCACTGACGGGATACCAGCAAGGCCCTGGGATGCAGACACACAGCTGTGTGCTCTGTGGAGCTCCATGGAGTGGCTCCATCTCCAGGAGACTGAAACCCTCTCACAAAGCAGCATTCCCATCTGTGGGGTAGCACTGGGAATGCTGGCTCACAGCAATGTGCCCAGACACAGTGCACCAGAAGGGTTTGTGGATGTGTGCCCGCAGCAGTGTTCATTTCCATCATGAGTGCACCAGTGGAATTCGGAGCCCTGGTACACAGAAGCTCTCCCACCTCTGCCAGACAAGAGGGGTCAGGGACCTTGTGTAGAATTTTTCCCAACAACTGTTTCCTAACAGCTGTGATTCTGGCTGGCCATGGAGAGAAGCAAACATGGTGCATGCAAAGTAGGGGCATAGAGCTGGGCTGTGCATCTGGAGGCAAGTGTGTGTCTCCAGGATCCTCTGCTGTCTGCCAAGAGTGTGCCGGGAAGGACCTAAAGGCTTTCCCAGTGCAGCGTTTAGCTCTGATTGCTCTCTATGTGGATTGTATCTGTCCTCAGCCAAGCACAAGCAGTTTTCAGATGAGGAATGGGTCTATTCCAGAGCAAAGTGAGCAATCAGGATCCCAAGCCTGTTTTGTTCAAGGCAATCAGGTGAAAATGTGCTGTCAGAGCTGTCTGCACTGCTTATCATTTTGGTTCCAGTGCTCTCCTCTAGTTCTAATCCTGCAATGTTTTTGCTGAAGAATAAAAAATGAATAAAGAAAGCAGGTCTTCCTCACCAACACACAGCCCTTTCCCAGAGCTCAAGGTGAACAAACAAAGTTTTGGGGTATATTGGGTGGAAGGCACAGATAGGGTTCAAACCCCTGATCTTCAGTTTACAAACTGTCCTCTACTTGGGAGAAAGAAGGAACAAGGGGGGGACGTTTGAAGTGGTGGCATTTGTCTCCCTAAGTCACTATTATGTGTGATGGAGCCCTGCTTTCCAGGACATGGCTGAACACTTGCCTACTGATGGGAAGTAGTGAATTAATTCCTTATTTTGCTTTGCTTGCACATGCAGATTTTGCTTTACCTATTAAACTGTGTTTAACTCAACTCATGAGTTTTCTTGCTTTTACCTTTCAGATCCTCATCCCCATCCTGCTGGGTGAGAGTGAGCAAGCAGTTGTGTGGGGCTGAGCTGCTGGCTGGGGTTCAAGCAAAACAGTGTCTGTCCTATGTTTAGGCCAGGAGTGCTTTGGAAAGGAGCTTTCTTTTGGGATTTTCACAGCTCATAGCCCAGGACAGCTATGTCTGTGACCTTCAAGTGGGTTTCACTCTGCCAAGCCAAGCTGTCGTACAAGGGTCTCCCCTGTCTCCTAAGAGAAGCCAGAAATAGCATTATTTTATCAAGCTCCTATGGGACATAAAGGAAGCTTCACAGGAAGCAATTATTTTCTGCTGAATAGGCTGTGAACTAGCCCTGGTGAAGAAGCTGACCAGCAGATTGTCACTGGAGGACACTCAGGCAGTATGTACTTCCCAGAGTTCACTTACCTGAAGGGAGGTCTGAGCTGACAGCCCGGTGCTGGAAGAATGTGGACTGCACAGGCAGGCATTTCTAGATATGTCTGTTGTACTTCCCAGTGCAATAATCACCTAAGGCAGAGGAGGACAGCACAGAAGCAGTGAAGTT